TCCAACAATCCGATTACTTAAGAAAATTTGACCTTTTGCCTACCGTTTTTCAAAAGAAAACATTTTGGATACAAAGAAAAATTGAGTGGATTGAAGGAGGAAATTAACAAGTTTAAAAAAATGCGATCGTTTGAAGAAATTAGATTTGTTTTTGGCAGAGTTTGCAAAATAACATTTTTGAATCCAGCGAAAATCGCTTCCACTGAAGAAGACTTTTTGGAGGGAAAGAAAACGATTTGCATTAAATTAAAAATTGCACTGAAATAAAGGATTCTAAAGTTCCAAAAATGCCACAATTTTAGGAAATTTGATCATTTGCCAACAATCTTTCAAAAGGAAACTTCTGTAATACAAAGAAAATCGAGTGGATTGAAGCAGATAATTAAAAGCTTTTCAAAAAGCTTGAAGCCTTGAAAGCCCTTTTTCTTGCAGCTTCTCAGCAGAAAACTTTTCGGATGAAGACAAAATCGTTTGCATCAAATGAGAAAGTCAAAACTTTCAAAAACTCTATTATTTGAACCTCTTTGATCATTTAAGTACAGGCTTTAAAATAAACAAATATAACTTTTTGTTTGCAGAGAAAATCGCTTGAAATAAAAACTTTTGAAAAATGCGACTGTTGAAGGAAATTTGATCATTTACCTACAGGTTTTCAACAGAAAATTCTGTTAATTTCGAAAATCTCTTCTATTGAAGCAGATACTTGAAACCGTTTCAAAATTGCGATCTTTTGAAGCGATTTGAGCATTTGCCAAGAAAGTATGTGGAATGGTCGGACCTACATGCATAAATTGGTCTTTTGTTCTAAAATCAACCGCTTTTGAACATTAGCATGGTCATTTGTTCCCGTCGTTTCCTTTTATATTGCAGCCACTTTTTCCTGTACTTATGAAAATATTAGGCTTAAAGCAAAAACGTTCTATTTCCCACATTCTCCATCCGTCTAGGCTTGGCTTCTTTGATCTCCTTTCCTATGATGGTTCACTTATTTATAGGAGCGATGGCCGTAAATTTGAGCACTTTCACACGCAAATAAAGTTGAAACTTCTATTTATTTAGCACTAAATCGCATTTGCTTCGTCTCGCCGCTTAGCCACCCTTAAGCCATATCCAATTTGGAGCTTTGCCACCATTTGCCAGCATCCAGCCCGCTGTATTCGCCCAAATACAGACAAGAGAAGAAAAAAACGCCGAACTAACTATGCTGATGTTGTTGAACAACAACAACGAAAAGCAATAAAGGCTCCAGCCCTGAAGACTCCATTATCTTAAATAGTTTTCTGTGGCTTTGTTATTACCCGAGCTTTCCGGAATGTAAATTAATTCTCTTAATCTGGATCTCTTCTCGGGGCTTATGTAAGGCGCATTCCTGCCTCATAAATCGATTTCGAGCGCTTTCGGTATTTAAATCGAAATATCTGCACGGAGAAGAAAACCGTCCACCCCCAAAAAAGTGAATCCTCCACTTAATTGGTAAAACGATGGATTGGTCGTAATCGAATAAACTGTCGGTCAAAGTCGATGGAGAAAAAAATTCAATTATCATTTGGGAACAAGTTGAAATAACATCCGGGACAATTTATTTGCCGAAGAAAAAGTGTCACTGGAGAGACCCGGAATAAACTCCTGGAATGTCAAAGGCGCTCAAGGGATTCTCTCCTTCCAAATAAGAGATTGTGTTTACCCGGATAAGAGCCGACAATAAATGTCCAACTATTTTTCAGTTTGCCGGCTTATCTACATTTCAATCTGGACATTTTCCTGGAAAATTTCTCTCTTACTGTTTCACCAAGCCCATCAAGTTAAAATAATGCGGATTTTCTAACATATACACTAAAAACGCAGCTTTTAATGCAAAATTTCATTGCAAAAAAGGATTTTGTTGTAGTTGAATAGGAAAGTTTGTTGTATAGGAAACTAACGAGAAATATTTCTTTTTTTAATGAGAAACTCGTCAATCAGCATTTATTTGTCACTAAGAAACCACACGTTGTCGAGGCCTGCCGCTAAAACTACAAAAGCATACAGAACTACTGTTTAAAATTGCTTAAATCCAGCTTTGAGCAAACAGAAATTGAGTTTGTCTTTTTGAAGCTTTTTTGAAATACAAATATTGAATTTTTAAGTTTCAAGCTCCTCAAAATTCTTCTCAATTTTTAACGAAATTTGGTGCTAATTTGCTAAAACTATTTGTTTTCAAGCCTGCAGATCTAGAGGCAAGTATTCACCATTAAACCAAGCAAAATCCCTTTAGCTTTCTGTTCTGGTTTTTAAGAAACAAATTTTTCAAGATTTACGCAAGAACAAGCCCAGTTGAAGTGTAGAAAATTTCTCAAAAATACCTCAAAGAAAGTATCTCAAAAAAACGATTAAATCAAATGTCGTTTTCAACCTGAATAAAGCATGGCTCTGTTTCAGAAGTTTTTGAGAATTGAACTTCTCAGAATCAAATAAACCTTAAAAATTATGAGGCAAAAATAGAGAAATAAAAAAATGCCTGAAATTGCTGTCGTTGCGTTGCAATTTTTAGGAATTCTATGAAAGTTTGTTCGTAGTCAAACAGCGGAAAATGAAATATTTATATAAACTGCTTTTTCAGAAATTAACGAATGAAAATGCAAAAATTCAATTTCTAAAAATATGCGAGTCGTAAAAACCATCTCTGTCTTAAAGTAAGATTTGAGAAGCGCAATTTTGATTATTTTATTGGGCAAGTCGGAAATTTTGTCAAAAATTGCGTTAAGCATCTATCGTCTTGATTTTTATAGGTAATATAGAGACAAGTATGTTCTATTAAACCGAATAAAACTCTATTTGCTATTAATATTAGTTTTTGAGAAATTAATTTTCAAACATCGCCTTGATCTAACACTATCGCTTTGAATCTAACAGGATTTGAAAGGGCGAAATTATTGTCCATATACAAAAAACATGGTTTCCTATTTCGACTGGATTTGAGAAATGAAAGACTCAGAACGTGTTCTCAGAAGGTCTCAGCTCAGAAGAATTTTTATTTAGAGAAAAAAAACTGAAAGTTTTACAGAGCCCATAGAGGCAATTAATCTTTTTAGGCAGCAAAGTTTCTCAAATGTTGCAAGAGTTTTGAACAACTATAAGCTTCTCTAACGGTTCTCTATTAGCAATGTTTTTGAGAAACTAGTGCCTCAGAATTCAACGCCTAATAGAGGTTTTATATGCAATAGTTCTCTATTGAGCAGCGAATGAGCCATTTTGACTGTTTTTTCAAAAATGGATCCAAATTCGTTGAAAATTCCCTTTAAAGTGCTGTCGTATTGAAATTTGATTTGCAGAAATTTGAAGAAATTTAGTGACTTATCAGGAATGAGAAAATGCCGAAAAGTGCGTGTTAGAGAACAAGAAAGTCTTAAAAACTTGCTGGATATACATAGATTCAGAAAGCATTTTCTATCTTAAGCAGGTTTTGAGAAATTCATATTTGATTACTTGCGAATTTCGCGGACTTTGAAATTTCCTCAAATGTTTCTTAAAGCAGCTACTGCTTTGAAACGTGTTGAAAAAAAGCCATCCTTTCTTGTTTTCGAGAACTTTAATAACTTAATAATGGTCTCGGCTAGTTTCTCATTGAAAGCTGAGATCCTTTTACAAACTGGCAATAATTGTCGAGACAATGAATCTTTCACTCTAAATAGTCTTAGGAATTTTCTTTGTTGATTTTTGAGAATTTATTGTTAATTCGACTTGCTGTTGTACAGCTGCTGTTAAATTACAAAATTTGCTTTAATGCTTCAAAGAGCTATGGATTTATGGAGTTGCTGTCACCTGAATAGAGCAAATAGAGACTCTATTTAAATTCCTTTTTGAAGACTTGAGGGGCAGCTTGCTGCTAAACCCTAAAGCAATTGCGCCTCCAGCATGGAAACACTTCCAGATAGGAAAACTGAAGAAGAAACAACCAGAAAATCTAAAAAGTTTTAAAGTGTATAAAATGCAGTTTTCAAAAAAATAGAAAAAGTCCCCGAAATTAAGCGTCGAAGATTTGGAAACCAGCCAACATAAGCAACAAAATCTTGAAAAACCTGAATGAGCGAATACTTTCACGTAATTTTCGGGATATTATTGACTCATTCGATTAACAAAATGAAACCAATCTTCCCACTAATTTCTCGAAACAAACGGCAATCTTTTTGAGAGCAAGTGCACTCTTATCAGCCCAATCAGCCCCTCTTACCTAAACCGCGCTGGAAAACCTCCAAGTCACCTCAAATTCCCATAGCGAACACCACTAGCAAAGTCTTCGGGAAACTTATCTCGGTCCAGAAGGAAACTTTACGCGCGCCGAATACCAATTAACGATAGCGCGTAGCTGAGCAACTGAATACGGCGAGAGCGCTACACAGCGACTGGCGCTTCCAACTCAAATTCACATCACAGTTGCGCCTCGATTCTTTCACCCTGACGCTTTTTGTATCGGAAAATTTCATAGGAAAAGCTGCCCCACTAATAGACTAGTAGCTATTGAGATGTCGGTATCTGCAGCTGACAATCAGCTACAGTCGTACTTTTGATTAGGAGTCAAATTTTATCCGAAGTTTTCTGGTAGATCAATTGCTGCTGATTGTGCTAGCCTTTTGCATAGCAAACAATTGTAATGGAAATCAGCAAAAGTAAATGGTTTGAAATCAGGGCGAATATTCGCATTTTGCTGACTGGGCCTTGCTAATCGGCCGTCCACTGTATATATTTTATGGTTTATTGGCGCCCGATCGGACCGAAATTGGATATTTTATGCAACCAACCATCGGCTCTCGGTAAATCTAGTGTGAAATGCCCTACCGCCACAATAAATAATGGAAAAAATTTATTTCTGACTAGTTTTGGCTTTGATTTGTCGAGCTCTCCCAAACATTATGTGTAAAGTTAGTGAAACAAAACAAATCCAATTGGCCAACTGGCGAAAGTAAGTTATCAGAAGTTTGCCGCCCTTTGCCTAATCCCCAAATCTCCAAACTTCTACTTACATAATACTGAAAGTTGTTCAGGTGAAACTCTGATGGAAATGGAACTGCGAAGGACAGACTCCTAGTTTAAATTAGCGGATTAAGGCCTGGAACTTTGGGGAAATTTATTATTACAGGCAGCAGAATTTTTCCGACGAATTAAGGATTCATTGGCTCACATGGCGTGCGTAACTGTTTAAGGCTTCGAAATACTGTTAACTTGACTTGAGGATTAACTAGTTTCAGAAATGATCATTTGGCTTCTCCGCGCCAACATTTCTCAAAATAACTGAGATCTGAACTAAATGCAGCGAAATTCTTATTTAAAGATTGCCTTTGCTTTAGCTCGGCAAGGGGGAAGCGGCGTGTTGCGCGGGTGTCCAAAGGAGCGCATAGAGCTCGATCATCTGCACCAATTTAAAGAAAAATTCAGTAGTGAAGCAAGTCGATTATGATTCTATTGTCGACACAATGCGACTTTTCGCTGGATCCTTCGCGTCAATTTTTGAGCCCCCAGATTTTCTTTTTCCTTCACAAACGGTGCTCAATCTCTGCCTGTTCAGATCGAAAGAATCTACACTTTTGGTGATCAGTGACGGCCGGCTGGTGAAGACTGGATGATCTTTAGGACTTCCATTCTAAACAGGATGAAAGTGGGAATCGACTTATTTTTTTTTTATTTTTCCTACCTCAATGGGCTCTGATTCGATTACGCTGGTCTTTTTCTGGATCACTTCCAAAGAATTGTCTTGGTAATCAGCACTGATCTCATGGAAATTTTTTTCCTGGGGCAAGATGAGTTAGTTTATACGAGCGCTCAAAATATAAAGTGGTCACTCTTTCAGAGTTGAGTATGGCATAAAAGCTACACTGGTTCCTTTTTAAACATTTTTCTTTGCTTCAGTGGTTATTTCCAACTCAATTTCGCAATTTGTTTTTAGGTTTCCTACAGTTTTTCCGTCTTCATTAATATAAGCAACAGTTTTAATAACATCCGAGTAAACATCTTGACGATGTTTACTCAACCCAAAGCGCTCAAGCCGCTGCTTCTAACAGAATTTTTCCAATGTTTCTATGGAAGTTTTCCCATTGACTCTACAGATTTTTTGAAACCCAACAAAACCAAAGGCAGTTTTCCAGAAAGACAATGCGGCTGCAGCACAATTCTTCCTTTAATCAGAAATCCTGGACTTTTAGGAGTTTTAATAGCCCCCATTTTTCGAAAAATTTAAGCATTGCAAACTAAAAATTCCACAGAAGGACTTACCAAGAAAGGCACGCAAGGCGACCCCAATTGGAACCATTAACTAACCCAATTGCAGACAACAACCGCAGTTGATATACGGAATCTTTATCAAATGAACCGAAAAACCCCGAAACACTCGATGCCCTGAAGATATTGGGTCACTTTATCTCTGCTCAGAATTGTTATCTTCTAGCTGAACTTGGCGTGTAAATATAAATGTTTTTGCCAAAACCGCAAGGCTTTTGCGATAACTGTTGTTTTTACATGGACATGGACCATCAGAAAAAAAAGTGTATATGAAAGAGTGACCACTCTGTACACTCAAATTGATTAAATCGCTCACCTTAAGAGCCTCAGTGCAGTCGCAATTCGGGTAGCTGCAGCAGCACGCAATAACTACAGACAGCGATTTCTTCAAACGGGTTTTATTCATTTCCTCTGCTTCTTCCCTCGATTTGAGGATGCTTTTTCTGGGCGCGATCTGTGGAGAAATTGCCAGCTGAATTTCCTCAAGTTCATCATCTGTGAATCCGGATACTGGGGTGTTTTGCGTTCCAGGAACTTCACTCGCAGTAGCAGTCAGCTCCTGGTCCTGCGGGGATTTCTGCGCGTTTACCTTGCAGGAGGCGTACGATATGCGCTGCAGATCAGAGTCTGGAAAATGTTCATTATTTACGTCCAAACCGGCGATTTTTTGCGTCCTCCGCACCTTTATAGAGCTCAGTCAGCTTGCCTGGTTGCTCGCGATCGTTCTCCAACTGGGTTGCAGAAGCAGGAGGCTCTAGATCGGGGGCTTCTAGCAATTGCACATTTTCTGGAAGATTCCCAGTAATATTTTCATCAGGCAGAGTGCTTATTGACCTACCGGTTGTAATGTGGATGGGCTGTGGATCGATGGAGGATTGATCCTGTTGGATAGGAGACTCAGAAGACTCCCGCTCAGGCTCTGGCTTCCAGGAAGCTGCGCTGGAAACTGAGGAACCTTGAGGAAACAGTTTCAAACCTTTGGGGCTTCAAAATAGTTAAGAATTACCAGGAGTGGAACTGATGGGAGGATTAGAGCTGCAGTCGCAATCACTTCGGTTGCAGTTGCACAATTTGTTGAAATTTTTACGCCATTTCCCATAACTCCCTTCAATCTTCTTGCGCTCAATCGCGTCAACGTACTGGATTTTGTCGGAACTTTCCTTAATCTGCTTCAGCAACTCTGGCTGAAAAATACTTATTTAAACCCAGTTGGAGTCAAGAGAGCGCTTTTTACGAGTTGATAATTTGGTTTATTTTCTTGAAGGATTTCTTCAGGTTTATCTTCACTGTTGCCCGCTACAGCCTTAGAAGTGGAGTAATTTTCAACACTCTTGGGCACAGCGATGTTCTTTACTAGGGGACCTGAGGCTTTTTCAAAATATCTGCAATGAAGGATTGTGCGCACTCACTTTGTCTTTTATGGCTTTTGGGCTCCCAAGTGGACATTTCTGCAATCATCTTCTGGTTGTCCAGGGCAGGATCTTCGGGCTGATACTCCGGAGAAGAGGCGTAGCCGCAGAATCTGCAGCGCTTCTCCAGAAGAAGCTAAAAACTGATTAAATAGAGAAATCGCTCAAATTCCCTTTTCCTACTTTAGTTTCTTTGTATCTCTTCCTCTGTAGCTCCAGCAGCATTTCATACCAAACGTTTGGTTTCGGTTTTGTCTTCGATGTGCCTTCACCCACAATCTCCTTTGAGGCGCGTTTGCTTTTCTTGGCTGGAAGGTTTCGCTTTTCCTCCAGCTGCTTTTGATAGTTGGCTACATTTTCGATCAGCGAACACTTAATGGGCTCCAGGTTCTTCTCCACCACGCTACGCCAGAAGCTCAAGCATTTCTCCGTCTCCTCTTGGCTGATTGCATTGTCAAAGGCAAAAGTCTATTGTCAAAGGCGGAAATGGCAGGCTTCCAATGCAACCTCACATAAGGCTTACCTTAAACAATGACTCTCCGGAGGTCACCTCATCCAGATTCTCCTGATGCTCGGATATAGAGGAGCTGGCTGGACACGCAGTGTCTTTGATCATGGTAATATTTTCGTCCGGGACTTGGTAAACTTTGTCGCCTTGCCTAGCAGAGGACATGGCAGGAATGGTTGAAAGGATCAATGAGGCTCACCTGAAAACTTTGTTTAGGCTTTGGAGGGAAGTTGCAGTGAGGGACTCTGGAGGGTTCAACTCGGCGCTTTCAATGTGCGTTTCTTCCATTCTGAGGGAGAGTTTGGGTTAAAATTGGTAGAAATTGGCACTGTCAAAGTGATTGTTGCAGCATGAACTGTTCGTAAACCGTTTGAACGGTTCTAGCGTCTCCTGTATGTATGAATGCACTATCAAATCACCACTCACATCAATTTGCAAAAGGGGTTTTGTTTTGCCCCAAAATAGTTGAAATTTTTCAGTTAATCTCAAGTCAATGTCGATGGGCAAACTGCCACCTGCGGCTGTTTAATATTTGATTTGACTTTTCCAACTTCGTTGAAGTTTTCTTTAAAGTGGACGATGCAGTTTGGCATGATCAGCATCAGATTAATTTGCACAATCATTGACTTGCAAATTTATTTTTTGCGTGAGTGGCGCTATATCCAGATTTGCTAATTTCATTCAGGTAAATTTTGGAGATTAAACAGCTTTAAAAGCTTTTGATTTGCTTCGGCCAGTCTTTTGCGTATTTAGACACCAACTGGACTTTAGAAGGTCTCGTTAACAACAAAACTAAACTCAATATTGCTGATGCATCGTCTAAAAATTATAAATCCGCTATTGAAAAATTCTGGTTCAATATCAGTCTGATTGGGTTGGCTAGAAATTATTTATGAATTAAATTGACTTGAAACTAGACCTTAAAATTGAAGAAAAATATGATTTTTTAGGAACAGGTAGCTTTAGAAATGAAAGTTTTTTAGCTTTAAAAATATGCTGAATTACAAAATTCGTTGCCCTCATCTGTCCGAATGTACTTACAAAAAGTTTTTTGTTTGGTACCTGTTAAGCCTTTTTTGATAAAGTCGCTTCCACCAAGGAAAACTTTACGGAAAATCACTCAAACCAGTGAGCCAAAAGAATTTCATTTTGATCTCTAGAAAATCTCTGTCAGAAAACTTGCCATCGGCATCAGCCCAATGGTTCAAAATTGTATTCTTCGTTTAATTGTCTGATTAAATTTGAAAAAAGCTTAAGGAATTCTAAAGCTTTATACCTATTTTTGCATTTTCATTCGTCTAAATTTTCAATTTTTTGCACTACAAACTTTCTTATTTTTCATAGGAAAAATTGTGCTGCATACTTTGAATATTTGAAAGCCGTTTTTTACAAAGTTGCGGTTTTAAGTTAATTATTTTCCGAACTAAAAAAGTCGCCACCTTCATCTGTCTGAATTATTCGCTTTAAAATTATATGTTTGCTCAGTTGAATGTAAATAAAATCAGCTAAATTGAGGAGAAATTCTTTCGAATGTCGTAAAATTCAACAACTATTCGCAAGTTTGTCGCCAGGATTTGCTTGAAAATTAGGCAAAACTTTGACTAAATAAACTTTGCTTTATTTAAGAAGCTGTAAGATTAAGCATGTAAACGTTGAGCTCGGTTTAAGTCCTAATCATGGCGAGCTTTGCTTATTCCGAAAAGAAAAAATCCGGTCTTAAAATTGTATTTGTGGCAGCGCATTACATTAGAAAACTCATTTCTTTCATCGGTCTGAATGTTTCAATCACTTTGTCAAGTTCTATACATTTTCCTCAATTTTCAGCACATTTGTAAAATTCCTCGCTTTCATCTTTCTGAATATTCTTGCAACGAAATTATCAACAAATATGTTGGCTTGGATTATCAATTTTTTCAGGCTTCTTCGTCATTTGGAAAGATCGTCTTCTTTTCGCCTGTACAAAATTTTTTCTTTGCCTGTTGAACAAGGAATTATTTCAACCAAATTACTCAGTTATTTTAAGAAATATGGGCCAAATTACATAATGAGTCTGGCAGGAGCAACAGAAACTTCCATTTAAGCCAAATCCAAAATAGTTGCAGTATGATTCTGGTGCATTCCAGGCAGATGAAGCGCACTAACAAGACGGCAGATAAGCCCAAGTTTCCCTCTATACCTAAGGAAAACCGCGGATCCGTTCACGCAGCAAGATAGAAGTTTACTAAATACCCCCTTTGGGAACACTATGGGCTATCGAGATTTGCAGACATATCGATTCAGCCTGCAAACCAATATCACAGTTTGTTGGAACTGGGCTCTCTAATATCAAGCGTGCAGTTTTAACGCGGGCCGATTCCTATAGTTAATGGAATATTCCGGTACCTCCATTTCCTCAAATGTTGCAGAACTTTAAAGACTTTGAATCAATAACCGATATGTGAATTGGTGCTGAGGACGCTGTCCAGCGTATTAACAGGATATTCTAGAATTCGGTTTGGGGTGCGAGTAGAACTTGCCAGACGGGTTGCTAAACTCAATCAGAACTAAGGCTTTGAGTTTGTTGAGGAAACTCGCAGGTAAAGTTACACACTCAGTCTAAGGAATCTGGGATTTGAGCCGGCAAAGAAGAGGAAAATTGGCCCTGTTATTAATTGCGTTTCTACTAGCTACTAGAGTTTTTGCGGATTTAGTTTGAAGAAGGAAATGTTTTGTTTGTTTCTCTGGACATGTTCAGGTCTGAGGCAAAAAGCACTGATGCCTTATTCGCAAATTAATGAACGACATACTGGAAACTATTTAGTTGCGCCAAATACTCCAAACCCGACTATTCCCAGAACGTCCAAAAGCAGGCGGATTGTCTTAATGAAAACCTCTTTCGAATCCTGAAAAGTTTGATAATTTCCGATCAATTGATCCGACTTCCGAATCCTCTGACCTAATAACGGCTGAAAATTGATGAAACCAGCCACAATCAGCAAGTCAGAAGTTCGAAACTGAAAACTAGGACAGTAAAACTCAGCATCCTTTCCCAACCCTTCGCAACATCGCCGTCAGAAAACCGACGCCGTTGAGGCGTCCTTTGGGGCGCCAGTACGGCTGGCGTCCTATATTTTCCCATCTCGCAAAACAGATCAATTCGGCCATTAAAAGTTGCCGCATGAGATTCATTCACTTGCAGCTTGCAGGTCAAAACTCTTTCTGGAATGGAGTCTGGTACCCAGATTATGATGGAAAGTTTCTGGGTTTTTGAGTTGTTTGATGGAAAAGTAAGTAGAGAATGAAGAAATACATGAGCAAGCGATTCGAAGCTAAAAATGATGTATCTAAAATAGATGCAAGATCAGAAATATATGAGAATAAGACCAAATGAACATGAAAAAATTGAATAATTTCCAACTTGACGAATTCTGGCTGGTTAATTTCCACTTCATCATCCGCTATTAGCATCAGATCAATTTAGCTCAATCCACAGCAGATTTCTCAATCTGTTAAAGCCACTCTGCTTTTACACCGATTACTTATGAGCCTCTAAAAACGACAAGCCCTTATTACTTTCGCTGCCACTCATAAATCGCACCCTCCCATAATAACCGGCCATAATCTCTTCAGTATTGGGGTTTTATGGTTCACTTTCAGCCATTGGGCCATAAAACCGGTTTCCAATTAGTGGGCTTTACAACAAGAATTAGGCAACCGATAAAACTGGTCAATGTTTGTCAACGCTCATTTCGAAGCCGGGATTATTTGGACAAACCTCCCAAGTGATGAAAAAAAAAGGTCAGTTTTCGACAGGTTTTCCGACCGCATTTCCCCGTAATTTATCGAGCTGTTTCAGTTTGGTTGTCGACAGAATTGACAAATTAGAAGCTTTTCCTGCAATAGATTGCGACATAAGAACAATTTTGAAAAGAAGACACGAATGCAAAAAAACAGGAAATCCAAGCGCTGCACTTCTATACACAATAAGGGGCAAACTTCATGAACAATTCGGACTAAATTGCGAATAATAAGAGAAATGCGAAATCCAATGAGGCCAAGTCTGGAAAACTGTGAGGCCAATAGACAGACTAATAGGTACACAAATTTTCAACAAATCCCCATAACTCTCGAGTGAAGGTTTATCAATTTATAACTTCAGTTGAGATGGAAAAAAGTTGCTAAAACCAAAAGCTGTTTTTCTTAAGCAATAGCTTGCTCAGCACCAAAAACATTTTCTGGCAGATCTTCTGATCCCTGATCATGCAACTCTTCCCATCCGTTGACAGGTTCACTGAAAAATTATAGTCTGAGAACATTCATTCATCGGAAAAGTTTCCTTTAACATCACGCTGCCTCTTGCAGTCCAGACACTGTTGCAGACAATGGAAACTGATGTTGCGAAGTGAGGTTATCATAATAGTTGGTAGTTAATTATAATCTGGTTTTCCGGAACTTAGCGGGAAAATTGCGTAATTTTATTCACTAGTTCTGGAAATAGGAATGGCTGTCGCTCACTGCTGTCCTCATGAAAGGCGTAGTTTCCAGTCAGTCTGGATGTTAAACCGTAGCGAAAATTCCCAACAATTTCACATCAAGAACTGCCGCACACTTTTCCCGACAAAGTTCCTTATTTCCTGATGAGGGACGCAATGGATGATGAGGGTCCGCTTGCAAGATTCACAACTATTCCGATATTGGAAAACTACTAATCTGCCCCGCCTGCTAAAGGTCCATCCAGTTGTTTATCAACCGAGGGAATCAACCGGCAAACGACACAGTTTTTAGATTATCCAGGTTTGTTTGCCGAGGGCAATTTTCATAATTAGTTCCGTTGAATTTCGTCCCAGTCAAAGCCAGGAGAAAAATGCTTTTTACAGCAACAAAGAAAATTGCGCTCTGGAAACTCCTGAATTTCCTTGTCTGCGATTTTCCACTCGTTCGCCGACGACTCATTGAATAATACAAGAGTCGATTCGCTGTCATTGTGGAAAAGTAATGAAAATATTATTTTCGCAATAATGGGCCCTGTTTGCTGAAAACAGAATACATGAGAGTGGGCTGTTCAACAAGGAAATCTGGATCTGGTGCAAAATGAATTTGCGCTTGCTCGGGCCTGGCAAACTTGACAGAGATGCTTTCAGGCCATCCAGCCGCTTTTAAAGCCGGGAGACAGGCAGGGAATTTTATTTTATTAGTATTTCCAGTTGTTTTGCTCAGTCTATGGACGTAATGTCTGAACAATTTTAGTTTTATGCTGCCATCATAAAACTAAAGACATCGTGTGCCCCCTTTTGCACCAGCTTTATTACCGGTGCTTTGCGAGGTCGTAAAGGCCAATTGAAAATGGTCCTGGAAACACATTCTGTGCATGCATGGAAAGGCGTCCAGCAATCTTCTACTTTCGATTCAAATTATTCAAAGTGCACGAAAAATAAGAACATTTTTTAATAGTTTTTCTGCAGTGCAGAGAGCTCAAAATTCAAAAATTCACTCACAACTCACTTACTAGAACGAAGAAATTTGAGAATATTCAGACAGATGAAGGTGAGAGCTTTCCAAATC